GAGGAAGGGAGAGAGAGATAGAGAGTTAGAAACATCGATGAGAGAGAAACATTGATCAGCTGCCTCCTGCACATCCCCTTCTGGGGATGTGTCCGCAACCCAGGTACATGCCCTTTACCGGAATCGAACCTGGGACCTTTCAGTCCGCAGGCCAACGCTCTATCCACTGAGCCAAACCGGTTTTGGCAGCACTTTTTTTTTAAATAAATTGAACAAAAGGACCTCCAGTAAAAAGACTGCAAATATTGTGATGCTTTACTGCAATCTGGAACCAAGCTTACAATATCTCCCAACGCATGTCTAAATCTATTTGAATCTCCTGCAAATAGTGACTTGTTAAAAAGTTAGGTGCATTTGTGGGAGAGCACTGCTTTACTACAGGGGTTGAAGTGGCAACATTTCTAATTGTTAAGAGCATACATTATCAAGTATATAATTTGGCTACATCAAAAGGAATCTAGAGATAAGCAAATAGAGGATTTAACCTGGAAGAAAATGTACATTTCAAATTCAGAAAGCATAGGAACAATTAATGCTGAAGATGTTGCCATCTTAACTGGTTTAAAAGTAGGAAAGACCAAAAATTTCCCAAGTTTTTTCGTAGCCCATAAATATGTACAAGGTAGGGTAAAAGTAGGTTTACAGTTTGTATGGGAAATAATATAACAAGTTTTTTGTGCCCTGTTGGTGTGGCTCAGCAGTTGAGCATCAATCCTTGAACCAGGAAGTCAGATTCCTGGTCAGGGTACATGCCCAAGCTGCAGGCTTGATCTCCAGTAGGGGGCATGCAGGAGGCAGCTAATGAATGATTCTCATCATTGATGTTTCTCCCTCTATAAAATCAATAGAAATATTTTTTAAAAAGTAAATTTTTGTGTACTCAAACTGTAATCCTACTTTTGTCCCACTTTGTATATACAAAATAGTTGTTCCTACCTTCTGAAGGAAACTGGTTTAGCATAGACATTTAAGAAAGCTCTGATGGGTAGCATAGCAACACAAGTGGAGCCACCACAGGCCCCAGGGGCAGACAAATGCCAGGGCTTTAAGCTGGGTTAATAACCAAATGGGAATTATGGTTTGAGTTAATTTAGTGGGAAGACCATCTTGAAATGTCTGAAGATCCTTTGAAATGTTCCAGTTCTTTCTGCAAAACAAGAGGGAAAGGTAGCTTAAGTAGAGCCTAGGAAGCAGCAGCAAACCAATGCAGAGGTAAGCAATACTCAATGTAAAAGGGGAAATGATGCTTTTTCAGAGTTCTGAGGCACAAGGCAGGAACAGGATTAAGAAGCCAGTGTTTCAACTAATATTTTATTTTGGGGTGGGGGGCCATTGCTTTTTTAAGAAAATAAACTATCTGACCCTAGCCAGTTTGGCTCAGTGGATAGAGCATCGGCAGACTGAAGAGTCCCAGGTTCAATTCTGATTAAGGGCATGAACTTCGGTTGGTTGCAGGGTCGTCCCTGGATCTGGTTGATCGGAACTCATTCCAGAAGCAATCAATCAATGTCTCTCACATCCACATTTCTCTCTCTGTCTCTCCATCTCCCTTCTACTCTCTCTGAAAATCAGTGGAAAAATATTCTCAGGTGAGGATTAACAACAACAAAAAGAGAAAATGAAAAGAAGAAAAACTGTAGTAAGGCAAATGTTAAGATGACAAGCTTGGGTTGTAGGTCCATAGGTGTTTGTGATTTATTATCTGTTACTGCATAGCAAATTGCTCAAAAATTTGTGGCTCAAAACAACGTGTATTACCTCATGCAGTTTCAGAGGGTCAGTAATTCATGAGCAGCTTGGCTCGATGGTCTGTCTTCACAAGGTTGAAGTCATCTGACGCTTAACAGGCTGGAGGATTCAGTTCCAAAGTGGTTCACTCACATGCCTGGCAAGTTAGTGCTGGTTGTTGGCTGGTGGCCTTCGTTCTTCACGTTGACCTCTCCATGGGGCTCCTTAGTGTCCACAATATGGCAGTAGGCTTCCTCCAGAATGAGCAATCCAAGATAGGGCAATTTAGAAACCATAATGTCTTCCCATTTTCTACCATTCAAACTCGAATTTCAGTATTTTTTTATTGTCTTTTAAGCTGTCCTTTAGAAGAGACACCTATCCACACCCCTGAACTATCCTATCCCCTTTATACCTTAATTATTTGGTTATTGTTCTAACTTGCTGCTAAAATTCAGTATTTACCTCTGTCCCCTCTGTACCCAATCATCTTATATATCAAGACGATGTCTAGCCCTGACTGGGAAGCTCGGTTGGAGCATTGCTCCAATACACCATGGTTTCAGGTTCAATCCCCAGTCAGGGCACATACAAGAATCAACCAATGAATCCATACATAAGTGGAACAACAAATCCATGTTTCTCTCTCTCTCTCTCTCTCTCTCTCTCTCTCTAAAATCAATAATTTTTTTAAAGTAGTTATTTAAAAAAAAAGACTAATAGTTGACTAGCAGTAATCAAAACTTTCAGTGGCATCAAATACCAAGTGTGTGACATGGCAGGGATGGCTAAATGACATGCTAAGGCACCCGGGAAATGCTACCAAGCATTCTTTTAGGGGAGCATTGGGGTCTTATTATCTTACATCTTTGCTCCAACAGCAAGCACAGTGCCTAGTAATGCTTATGGCCCACAGAATGCTCCAAGGGAGGCAAAAATAATGATTATTTCCCTCTTAGGCCAGATTCTTCTTACTTTGTTATTTTCTTTGATTTTAGAGAGAGGGAGGGAAGGGGGGGAGAGAGAGAGAAACATCAATAATGAGAAAGAATCCCTGATCCACTGCCTCCTGCATGCCCCCACTAGGGATAGAGCCCCCTACCCAGGCATGTGCCCTGAACAGGAATCAAACAGCAACCTCCTGGTTCATAGGTTGACGCTCAACCACTGAGCCACAGTGGGCAAGCCAGGCCCAGGTCTCTCTCTCTCTCTCTCTCTCTCTCTCTCTCTCTCTCTCTAAACAGAATGAGACTTTTGTTTTTATTACTCTAAAGGCTTCATTTTTAAATTTATTTAGCTTTCTGACTCTGTGCTTGTGCCTTCAACACTTTCACAAGGATTTTCTGCCCCTCAATAAGGAAAGCACGCTTGATCCTGTCACAGACACATTTAGCACACCTGGATCCACCATAGGCCCTGCTGATGTGTTTTTTCGTTTTAGACAACCTCATTAGAACTTTTTTGATGTATGGGACGACATTCCAACCAACTGAGCCAGCTAGCTGGGGCCCTATCACTTTTTTTTTCTTTTTAATACCAGAATGCTAAAATACCTTCCCAACCCAGCATTCTTGGCCTTATTTTTTAAAAATTTTTATTGATTGATTGATTTTTAAGAGAGACAGCAATTTTTTCCACTTTTTTTTAAAAAAATATTTTATTGATTTTTTTACAGAGAGGAAGGGAGAGGGAT